TTTTTTGGTACTGGGGATGGAACTCAGGACCTTGCACTTGCAAGGCAGGTGTCAGCACCACTGAGCTAAATCCCCAGCCCCCAAATGGAATTTTTATTTTTAGATTTCTCAGGAATCTCCATAGTGTTGTACTAACTTACATTCTAAGCAACAGTGTAAAAGTTTCCTTTACCCTTACATCCTCACGAGCTTTTATTGTTCTTAATGATTGCCATTTTGACTGGAGAAGATGACATCTCAGAGTTTTGATTTGCATTTCCCTAATGGCTAAAGATTATATATAAATATTTTTTCATGTATTTATTGGTTTGTACTTCTTTTGAGAAATACTTGTTCATTTCATCTGCCCATTTGATGATTGGGTCCATTTGTTTTGAGAGTGTTAAGTTTTTTGAGGTTGTTGTTGTTGTTGTTGTTGGGGTTTTTTGGCACTGGGGATCAAACTCAGGTCCTTACACTTGCAAGGCAGGCGGCAGCACCACTGAGCTAAATCCTTGGCCCTTGATATGGTCCAAATATTCTCTAGCTAGCTAGCAAAAGTATTTTCCCATTCTGTATGTTGTCTTTTCACTGTTTGCTTTACTGTGTAGCTTTTTAATTTTAATTTAATTCCATTTGTTGATTCTTGACTTTATTTCCTGTGCTACGGGAGTGCTTTTCAAGAAGTCCATACCTGTGCATATAGCTTCAGGTGTTTCCCCTATGTTAATCTTCCAATAGTTTTTAAAATTTCTGTTTTTAAATCTAGGTCTTTGATTATTCTTGGAACTCCCTTTTCTTCCCTAACGCTCTTTCTTCTCTTCAGCATGTCCCCCACTCTGTCCTTTTCTGCTTCCCCTTTCTTCGGTATTGCCCTCTTTTTCCTCATCAGTGTAAATGTTCAGTGAGATTCAGTTGTTGGCCTTCTTGTCTTGCATTTCATTCATAGCCTTAATAATTTTCTCTTTTTGTCACAGACCTCTTAGAAATTTGATGAGAGCTCTTGTATCTTCTAGAAGATAGCCACATTCAAATAAATGCCATCCATGTGCCAAAAGAGGAAGCCTTGATCGGGCATGCTGTCCAGCTAGTTTGGCCTGTTCAGTTAAGGTCCCACCTATGCACACACATTTATAGCACTAAGGTCTCTGTGAGCACTTGTCATTCTTGAACTTCCAAATCCTTACTCTCACTACCCTCATACCCAGAGACTGGGTATCCTCAAAGTTGAAGTCATAATGGCCTCTCACAAATTTCTCATTCTCATATGATTCCCATCTTCATGATGTTCTCTAAAACAGTGTCATCATTGTACATTTTATCCATCCTTGATTTTCTAGCACTACTTCCTCTTGAGGCCTGACATAAAATCAGCATTCATTTGAAATCAGTCATTGATTCCTTCAGCGTACCCAGGGTGTGTTAGGCAACTGTTCTTGGGAGTGGCACATTCTAGTAAAGAAATGACACTTGGTTCTTCGGTGAAGTTCACTTCAAGTCCACACCTCATCGGTGAAGAAATTGTATAAGTTCTCTTGATTCCACTTGGGTGGTGTCTTTTAATGTCTTCCAGTTTTAGGACTTTTTTACATAATTATGTTAATACAGTTAAAATGAATTGTTGGAAGACTATTAATCATAATGTATCTTCTGTAATATTTGAGCTAGTTATGTTTCATAAAGCAGTCTTAGTCCAAGCTAAGTCAACATAGATGTTTTCAAGTTGGCTTAGAAAAAAGAAATAGCCTAAATTACAAATAATGCATAACCACCCTGAAGCCATGTGGTTATTTATTTTTTAGAGAGGGCAGTAGGAAGAGATAAGTGCATGGAAGCCAGCTAACCATGGTATATTACTAGATGGACAGGAAAGAGGTTCATCTGATTTTCATTTTAGATAGTTGCCTTGGTAACAATCAGTGCTTGGCCTGTATCATTTCTATTTGTGAAGACCATTTAGATTTATGAAGCTGTTCCACTTATATATCTGATTACTGAATAAGGCTTGAGATTAAAAACAGAATAAGGATAATTTATACAATACCAGAGAGAAAATGAGGACATTAAAAATCATGTCACCAATTGTCCAGAGTTCTGGGAAATTAATGGAGTTGAGATTTTCCTTGTGTTGACAAGATGTAGTTGTCAGTCTGAATTCTCTAAAAAGTTGAAATAGATTAATGTTTGCCCTTTTTTGATTCTACAAAAATAAGGAGCAATGCTGAGTGATTTATATCAATCAGTGTAACTTGAAAATCATCTCCAGATCTCATCTTTTTCCTGTAGAATGAAGACAAGAAGCTGGTTACCTGTGTAGTTCCAGAAGCCTGGGAGGCTAAGACAGAAGGATCCCAAGTTTAAGCCTGGCACTTAGCAAGACCTTGTCTCAAAATTCAAAAAGGGCTGGGTATATAACTCAGCGTGGAGGCCCTCGGTTCAATTTCCAGTACTTCAAAAATAAGTGAAAGAAGGGAGAGAGGATTAATAGTATAGCAGGGTTTGAATCAAACTGCAGGCTGACTAAACCACTTTTAATATTAATTGTAGTTTAAAAGGTTTCTTTCGAAAAGGATATATTTTGTGCAGGCATCTTACTCATAGAGGTGAAGAGAGCAGATGTGCCTCACATTTTTAATCACTCAAGCACATACGCTTTTTCAAGAAAATAAAGGCTGCAAGTTCTCAAGTGATGTGGTATTACTGCCACTTCAACCCTGGGTGATAAGTAAATGCCTATTAAGAAAGATGATTGGAAATGGCATATTAGGAGTGTCTTAATAACATTATTATAACATTATTATATGGAGTGACCTTTTAGAAAACAAAATCACTTCTATGAGGAAAACAATGGCTATTTACTGGAGAGACCACTGTTATTTATTATATTAATATAAAGAAAATTTTAATAATGATACTTTGGGACTTTTTGTAGTCCCTATAACCACGTACAGTGCCTGCCTTTTTTAAAAAAGAATTTGGTGTCTTAAGTTCTTTTCATAACTTCATAAAATTGTCATCGGACAAAGAAATAAATAGGTTTTTTTTTTTGGCTATTTTTTCAGAAGACTTTAATTTTTAATACATTTTTTTGAATTGGTGGTTCTTCCTAGAAACAGTTTACATGTAAAGCAATTATTTAAGAAACTGACCTGAGTGCTCTGTAGGTAGTTTTTTCTTTATAGTCTTTGGTTCTTTGTAGCCTGTTTTCTGGAAAAATACTATAGTTTGTACACATTAAAAATGTTGATCAAGCCAGGTGTGGTGGCGCACACCTGTAATCCCAGCACTTGGGAGGCTGAGGCAGGAGGATCAGTGTGAGTTCAAGACTAGCCTGGGCTACATAGTGAGTTACAGGTCAGACTCAACTACTTAGTGAGACCCTGTCTCAAAAAAAAATGTTGATCAAGCCCCAAAATATCATTTTTCAGTCAGTGTTTGAGAAAGTAATTTTCCCTAGGTAAACTAGTTAAATTTCCATTATAAAGAATGATTTGGTGGCTTACAATAATTACTTAATTCATATGCATATTTTTTAACAGTTTTTGGTTTATGTTGGCAGCCACCCCTGGGAAACTGTAACAACAGCTGCAATGCAGAAATACCCAAACCCTATGAACCCCAGTGTGGTTGGAGTTGATGTGCTGGACAGACATATAGATCCCTCTGGAAAGCTGCACAGCCACAGACTTCTCAGCACAGAGTGGGGACTGCCTTCCATTGTGAAGTCTGTAAGTGTGTCCTGATTCCCAGAGAAATGTGACTGCAGTAGAGAAGTTTTCTAAACCACATTATAATTTCAAATAGGTTGTGGGAGCTGATTCCGAATGTCATTTTTGCATCAGTTCAAGTTGTATTATAATAAACTTGAGTTATGAGTGTATAATGAATTGGAAATATTATTACAGTCTTCATGAAGGCACTCGATAAAACCTTCTGAAGGAATCCAGCTAATGCTCTGAAATCTAAAAGGAGTTATATTGTTTTTCCTGCTTTTTCTAGCAACTTGAGACCAAAAAGTTTGAGCATCATTGGTCTGATCATGACTGCTAGATTACCGTTGCTGTGGCCAGTGCTAGGTTGTGCACATTAAGTAAGGAAAATATTCTCAGACTTGGTGTTGTCACCTTTGTGCCACAATTAAGTATTCCTTCCTGTACATTTAGAAACAGTTCTATTGAGTTATAAACATGCAGGCTTTAAAGAGCTAATTTGACTAGCAAGAAATTAGAATGCTGATTTATATAAGTGAAAAAACTGTTGTGGTAAGTGAATCCCGGTTTCTACATAGCTCCACCCAGAAGACTAAGTACACATTTTTCAACAGAAATGTACCAGTTACCTCCATTAGACAGACTATGGCATGAGAGAGTAGGGACACAGCAATGAGTAAGATCAGGAGATGGGTTTGGGGGTCATGGCACAGGGAGTAACACTGAGTACGAACATGTGCTCTTCCACCATGAAATAGCTGTTTTTTATCTGTCTGGGGAAAGTAGCAGTGGTGCATTCTCCCTGGACAGCTCTAGGAGACACAGATCTCTTGAGCTCTCCCCCAAATCTGATTCATATTTCCACTTCATGCTTCCTGGTCACACTGGGGCGATTTCAACACCAGATAGGCTTTCCTTATTACCTTTGTCTGTTTCTCTGGATTTTTCCAAAGAGATTTTTTATTCCACATACACATTTTATTCCAGGTACACATTTATACCTTCAAATAAAATATTGACAACATGTGGTAAGAAATCCTTCCTCTGATTACTAATTCCAAATGTTTTGCTTAGATTATTGGTGCAGCAAGAACCAAAACATATGTTCAAGAACATTCTGTAGTTGATCCTGTAGAGAAAATAATGGAACTTAAATCTACTAACGTAAGTTTGTGCTCTCTTTTCTTTTAATTTTGAACTGTTTAGCCTAATTTTTTGTCTCTCATATAGTTGATATGTTAATGGGTATGTGTTCTTCAGTGTCGTACACAGGGAGTTGGGGTCCAGAACCTGTACTATCTGTCCCTGTTATGCAGTTAAGCCTATTACTGCAGTGGACTTGGCCTCTTTCTCGGAGCTGTCATTCATAAAGTGGATTTGGGATCATGTACATATCATTATTATATCATTATTATACTTTGCTTAAATTTTTTTTTAATTTATTTATTTTTGGTACAGGGATCAAACTGAGGACCTTGCACTTGCTAGGTAGGCAGTGGAACCACTGAGCTAAATCTCTGGCCCACCTTAAATTTATTTTTTAATAAAAAGACAGCAAGTAGTAAAATTTAAGCTGTATTTACACAGCAGTATCAAAGTTGTTTATTTGTTGGTTTTATTGTTGTATATGTTTAAATAGTAAGACTGGTTCATGTGTTAATTGGAGAAACATTTTTAATCTTTATTTCCAAAATACAAACTCCCCCCTTCTTCATTCTATAGATTTCATTTACAAATATGGTTTCAGTAGATGAGAGACTTACATACAAACCACATCCTCAGGACCCAGAAAAGTGAGTAAAAAGTTAACAAACTTATTTTACAAAGCTTTTTTTTTTAATCAAGTATTTTTTAAAACAATGCAAGTTGGGTCATCTGAAACTTGGTGTGTTTTGTGCCAGAACTGTTTTGACTCAGGAGGCCATAATCACTGTGAAAGGAGTCAGCCTCAGCAGTTACCTTGAAGGCCTGATGGCAAGCACAATATCTTCCAATGCGAATAAAGTAAGTGGTCTGCTTCCTAATTGTTTGTTTTCCCCGTTTCCTGGAAGAGCTTGTGCTGAATGTGTGTTTGTCCTTGTAAGCGGACTCTCAGCCGCTTTGCAGAAAGAGAGCATTAGGCAGTTGTTTGCACAGCTCTGTCTCCCAGAACACCTGAGTTTACATGCAAGCTCTAACTCCTAACCAGCCTCTCAGCGGAGGACAACTATGTCAACTCACCATGCCTCAGTTTCCCATCGTGAAGCTGAGGTCACCCTCTTGCCAAGTTGGCCTGAAGTAACGTGGAAGGTGTGTGGCCTAGGCCTCTGCACATAGCACATACTTGACAATGTATGGCCGTGTGCCACTGTTTAAAGTTCTGCTTCCTAGTTATATCTTATTACCTCCTCCACTGGTTTCAGACATTTTTTTCTAATTGCCACCCCTATAAAATTAATAACCACACATGCATACACGCATACATGCTTTATACCTTACAAAGGTGAAATTATAAGTTAAGGAAAGGGCTGCCTGGTGCACTATTTTTTAAACACATTTACTAATAAAGTCATTCAGCAATCAGAGATATTCACAGATACCTTCTCTATGCCAGGCAGAATGCTAGGCTAAACTGGAGATGGGGGCGGCACAAATGTCTGTGGAATTAAGAGGAAGGTGACATTCATACAACATGTATTAGGAAAGGAAAAGGAAAGGTAGGTGTGAAAGTATTTGAGAGTTTAGTGATTCTGCTAAGTACTAAATGAGTGGTAGATTGTTTGTGAGAGGTGTGCCGGAAGAGCATTTTTGCAGGAAGAATTGTGCGTGCAAAGGCCCTGAGGCGGGAAGCATAAGATGTGCCACCTCCTTTCTCAAGGAAGTGCATAGAGCACCGGAAGGGGTGAGGAAGGAATCACAGAACAGATCATTTGCAACCTTGTACATGACTTTGATTTAAAATATAGACATTAAAAAATACTAATAAAATGTAGACATAAAAAGAAGAGGGTTGACTAGTCATGAAATAAGACATCCTGTCATTTAATTGTAGATTGATTTGAGAACATCTTTTGCATACAAAATAAAAGTCAGTTTATGGGTCAAGCCAGTTGTTCAAGGCATTTGATATTTGGTAAATAGTGTTAGAAAAGAGAAAGTGAGGACAAAAGTAATCTGTCCTTAAGAGGTTTAGTTATCCTTGTAAGGCTCACTGTTACTTCCTTGTGTGTCATTTATTTGATACATAGCTGTTACCGCTCAGTAACAATGAATGTATTGAATTTTTTTAAGGGCCGAGAAGCAATGGAATGGGTAATACATAAATTAAATGCTGAGATCGAAGAATTGGCAGCTTCAGCAAGAGGAAGCATAAGGACTCCAATGGCAGCGGCCGCATTTGTAGAGAAATGATAAAGTTGGTGTCCAGCAACGGGTCCCCCAGGTCTCTCCAAAATGACAGTATATTTATTTGTTATTTAAAAATCACAACTATATTTTAGGTAGTATTTTTTTTTTGATAAGCTGGAGTGAGGCTATGTGATTTTTATCAAAAGAAAGATACAGGGGTTCTAAATCACAGGGATCATCTGATGTTAGTATGACTTGAAATGACTACTTGTTAGGTTTCCAGTATCTATATGAAAATGTAACCATTTTTTTAAGAATACTTGGGGGAAAAAAATTGTTATGGACAGTGAGTCTTCTTAAGGAGGAGTGTTAAAGCTTTTCGGGCTTTGGGACTTCACCCGGCTGTGGACCAACCCCAGAACAAAGCAGAGCCACCCCTTACCTTCGCACACTTGCCCTGCTGCTGCTGCTGCTGCAAACAAGAACGGGGCATGAGGAACTCCCTGTAAAACAAGAAGTTGTATAGTTGTAAAAGACATTAATTTGTATAAAATAACTTGCTCTGCTAGAAACCACCGTGTTTTGATTTGGTACTTAAATGATACTTTTGGGGTGAAAATTATCACTGAAGTAATATATGACTCCAACAGAAATATTATTTTATTGTATTAAAGAGTACTGTATTGGTTTGCCAAAAGTTTTGTAACTTAGTAAAGGGATTACCTACCTTGGGTTTGTACTTTATGACTTAGCACACTGTACCGTGGGCTGGTTATGCTAACTGAAAAAAAAAAATAAAGTTATTACCTGAGTTTTGCAGCACTCTTAAATTGAACACTTAACACTTAAACAGAAGAACAGCTGTTCACATCTTTTAGCATTTCACATTTGCTTAACTTATAAATTGCCATGTGTCAAAATCATGGTTTTGTAATTGCTAAGGCATGATATGTCAGGTTATTTGAATATAATTACTTTTTGAGGTAATTGTGACCACAAAACGTCTTTTTTACATGAGGAGCTGTACATCATTTGAAATTACTCAAATGATGTCTTGATCTGAAGCATAAATCTTACTTAATGTTTTTAATAATATGGTGCCACCATGGAGGCGTCGGGAGAAAATTAAGTACCAAATGGGGGAAATGGCATGGTCTACAGTGAGTAAATTACACTGTAGGTTTTATTTGTTGGAAATCTTTATTTTGGATAACAGAGTGGCTGCTAGTGGAACACAATCCAGAAAATGTATTTTATTTAGTATTTTGTACCGGGCAGTTAACCACTAAATGATCTCTTTGGTACTTGGAAGTGTTGTATACAATTTTTGTTAAAAGGCGATTAGCTTTTGCCTTTATTTTACAAGGCTTAATATGATCAATTTTTAGCTGGGTTTCCTATAAAGAGACCAGTTAATACATATAAACTGCAGAAATCGTACCAAAACAGTACCACTTTTCAAATTAGTGTTTTTCTACTTAAACTATTACGTGACATGAGTTCTTAGAACATTTGTAAAGTGTAAAACTCTGATAGTTTATTTTTTTGTAATCAAAAATGGTTTTTACAACTAAAATACTATTTCAGCTAAAAAAAATCGCTAAGTACATATTAATATTTGACAGAGACTTGTGATTTGTGTACATTATACTTGTTCTAAAAAAGGTATGCCTATTGATAAATTATTTCTAAGCCAACCTTTATCATATCCTTCATTAGATTTTTTTCACTGTTATCTAATGGTAAAACATCTATAAATTTTCATTTTCCATTGTAGTTAGCTACATCTAAATACTTGATTCGTGGCTTCTGTTAAAATACAAGTTCACAGCAAGTTCATTGAAAAGGACTAAACTGGAATAAAGTGTTGAATTACAGCTATTAAGCATCTTATTCAATATTAAGATGAACTTAGGAGAATTAACATGATTTTGTTAATAAAGACGTTCTTTTAACCGCCGGTTGTCTTGACCGTAAATTCTCCTTAACGTTCAGAAGCGAACGCCCTCGTCGGCGGCCCGGCGCCCGGGCTCCGCGCGAGTGTCCGTGCGGCTTCTGCGCCGAGCGCTTTCCTGCACTGCACTCCACTCCGGACGCGGTCGTGCAAGGAAACCCACACCGACACGGACA